TATAATTTCTGGTGTAAAGGATGATACTGCCTTTGCCCCACTTACAAAAAAGGAGATCAGTGTATGTGTATTTTTGGATGATAAGTGCAATTTACTTGTTCATAATATTTTGGAAGCGTACATAACATTAATGGCCTGATAGGAATCCAATTTTAGGCACCTTTTTATGTTGTTGCAGTTTTCTTCACGACTTCAGAGCATATATCTAATTAGCTTGTGTTTAGTGTGCTCAATTGTCAAACAACTTCACTTTGGGCTATTTTGAGGCCTTAGTACCTGTCAACAATAGAATAAAACCATCTTGTTGGCAAATTCAGTCTGCAATTAACTTCAGACATTTGCGTTGCCTCTCACTACTGGGTCTTTCTTTGCCAATGGAAATGAAGAAAATTAAAAAAGCTCTTCACAAAACTGTTGCTTTCATCCAAAGTTGTCTAAATTGCATACTGCTCTTGTTTTTGGTGTGTGTGTTTCGGTGCTTTCTTTTTGTTTATTTTTATTTTTATTTTTATGAACTGCAATGTATGCTTTAAATATGAATGGTTGCTGCCTAGAAACACACGGCAGAATTGCTTTATTAATTTATTTAATGCATTGTTCGATAATGACTTGTGATAATGTTTGATATAGAGTAAAAGCAATTATAGTAATAGCATTCTTGATGTTTTTTCTCCTTTTTTTTGAGAAAAAAAAAACCTCAGTATTCAAAATTATTATCAAAGTTATTTAACAAGGGTTACTTTAAAATATATTAAGAAAATAGTGTTACAAGCTTGATAGATATTCTTTTAGTAGTTACCAGTTGAAACCTTTTCGGTTTTGCTAAAAAAAAAAGTAGTTGCTATTTTCTACGATGGTAATGGTTGGGCAAGTGCTCTTATAACATGCTGGATTCTACCATGATTAGATGGTGGTCTGTGGCCCTAAGCACTTTGCTTTTATGAAGAAAATTGTAAAAGCTGTAACCAAAACTTTTTCTTTAAAATTTTTGCTTTTAGAATTAAAAGGCCAAAAGTTAAGTTTGTTATGGTATGATAGTATCTACATTTTTGCATGTTAAGCAATGGTAGATTGTACATAGATCTCATGGATACAACGATGTCAATCAGAAACTTAGATCCAAGTATAGACAAAGTAGCCACTATCTAGTAAAATGATGTGCAGCAGAATAGTTTTTTCAAGTATGTACTTGATCTGTACTTTTTCTCGACTTTTATGGCCTGCATATCTAGCTCATCTGTCTTTTCAAAGAGGAGACGATGTCTAAGACCCTGTATCTCTTAGAAAACAATAATATTGACAGCTAGCCTGCTATTATCTGGCTGCAGGAAATTGCATGGCACCGGCTTGATGAACTTCAGCCAGCAACTAATGAAGTAATATCCCGTGGGATCACTGGCCTAAAGCTTTATATGGTGGCCCCTTTTTAGCGTAAGTACTTTGTTATGACATTATAATAATTTTTCAAATACCTTTACGTTGTTGGCTAAATTGCATTTATGTGACGTCGTTGTGCAGATCTTTAAAATCATGGATTTCAAAGCATCCACCCCCAATATCTCCAAGACCAGATTTGCCCCTAAAAGGTTTTCCCTCTCCCTCATTTTGGAAGATAATTTATTGTAGTATTAGGTTTGTGTAAACCCTATAAATGCAAGATTAAAAAAAGGAATAGAAGCTAGTTGAGGAAGTGTGTTGTGAAAATTGGACCAAACCTGTCAATTCAATTGTTTTGAACCTGAAATTAGTCAATTGTTTGGTCAGGAACATACTTCTTAAGCGGAAAATGTGAAAACTGGTTAAACAAAATGCATGGATCAAGCTGCTCAGTTTAGCCAGGTTGAAGCAGTTCTGGTTTATTAAAACTAACCTTAAAATGTTCTTCTCTTTTCAAAATCTTTAGTAAATGTGAGATTCAACATACAATGTATTTAGTATACACTTTACTAACATCAGTCAAACCGCTAATTGAACTGGCTAAACTGGGAACGCTCCACTGATGCGGGTCTCTCTCTGGAGAGGTTTTGAAAACCACTAGAGAGAGATTTTACAGTCTAAAGCTGGTCTTGGATGCCTTCATGCATGTCCTAAACCCAAACTGAATAAGAAACAGTTGAATTTATCTTTGGAGAAATTCAGTTTTCTATAGTGTCCTCATAAAGTCATAACAAGAAGAAAGTAAAAAATCAAATCTATTCTTTAGATCTCTTATGGTGCTTTTGTTACTAGAGGGATTATGGGTGAAGAGCTGAAGTTTTTAATATGATCTTCGCTGCCTGAAGCTATAGCATCAGTAGCATGTTATTAGATATTTTTGTTAACACCTTTTTTCTATTTTTCAGTGACCTCTGGTTGGATTTGGAAAGAACATTCACATTATAACATAAAACTGAATCATATAAAATTGGCCATAAAATGCGCAAGTTTTGAATTTTGACAACTAATTTGATAAAAAATATCAGACTATTTGTGGTGTTGAGAAAACGAATTAAAAACACAAATAGAATTGTCTCGCACATTGTAGTTTAGTTTGCTTTCAAGTGCTTCACTCTCTCATTAATATCTCAACTACTGTGATTTTGCGTTCTGGCAATAACTTAAACCACCTTTGATCCGTGAAAATATAGGTACCCATGGAAATCTTATGGTCTGTGTTTTCTGATAAGTTCCTTTTTATTCTTGTCAAGGGATCTGTGTGTGGAAGCAAAGAATAGTTCTACCGGAAGTAACTCAATGATTGTGGAGAGCCAATCTACTAAGCCTGCATCTGATGCTAACCAGCCTGACACTGGTCCGGGTAAGAGCTTCAGAAACTTTAGATTTGATACTGCTGCAATATTAAGAGCATTGGAAGCTGGCTTCTCTGCTTGAAGATCAGACCAAGTCTTTCTCATGACATGTTTTATGTTCAAATTGCTGGGACTGCTGGATTAGTTGCTAGGACTTCACCTGTAAGCAAACAGCATCGTTGCCCTAAATCGGGTTGTATATTCTTGTGTCAGATGTTCAGGTTTGTTTGACATGTAAATTCTGTACAGAAAAAAGACCTTTGTGGCAACGATGCAGTTGTTGTTCATTGTTCTGTTAGTCAAACCGGTGAATATACTATAGTCCCTATGTATGCTAACAGCCTCATGACTAAACGTTGCTCACTTTGTTGATTCTTGTAATCTACTGTTGTATTTTGTTTGGTTCTTGTTATCAGTAAATACTCGTTTGCGATCCCAGATTTTTATGTATTGGTTTCATTGAACTGGTTGATTAGGGCTGGGTAAACCCGCAATTTTGCTCGTCTGGCATTCCTTGTCTTCTACAAGCAAAATGCCCGAGTCGGGTGTTTGACGAGGTCTGCAATTTGATTCAGATGCTTAACGAAGCAAAATACCTCTTCTAACATACATTTTGGTAGAGTGGCAAAAGCTTAGATTCGGATTGTTTGAGTTTGGGTTTTTTGGGTTCCAAATTGTTTCGTGTTTGAATCTTTTTAGATTTGTGTTTTTTCAAGTGCGGATTATTTTTGGAATTTTTGTAGTATGCAATTTTATTTTTGTGTTAGTCATTTTGGGCTTCCGAATTTTTATTTTTTGGGTAAAATGGGATTTGTCCTTTTGACGGGTTTTCAAATTCATTGTTGATTTTACCATCCAGATTTTGGGAGGCGGCTGTTAGTAAAATCTTTTTTAGCTAACTTTTTCATGAGAAAAGGAACTAAATTGCTAAATCGCTCAGGTTCATAGGGTATTTACCGATAAATCGGTGATAAATTGATGGATGGTCAGAGGTGATGAATCAACAAATTTAAATAAAATAAAATAAATAAAGACAGCAGTGGAAAAGAGTAATGAGTTTCTTTATATTTCTGGTCTTGT